GGTCTGTTTTTTCCTATCGGTTGTCTTGGAAAATTCATTTATATGGACAACAACTTTGAAAATCAGAAATAGACAGTAAACTCTTCAAGAGTTCATAATAAGGAACAAAGGCTTGGAAAATATAATACTCATATAACATAATGACAGAAATTTAGCACAAAGCAAAGAGAAAATGACTTTAGGTGAGTGGATGGTGAACAGAAGACAAAAGAAGTTGTGGGGAGCCATCATATCCTGAAAGGGTATGATTAATGAACGAAAATATCTTAAGCAAACACAATACAAATAAACATCTTTTAAAAAGTCTGAGAATAATAATCTGAACAACTTTTGGGATAATAATCATTTTTGTTATAATTATAAAAATAATTGTCAAAAAGCTAGCCACGTTTAAAAATCGGGCCATCCACTTTTTTGGCATAAATGTTCGATACCTAAGTTTTAAAATTAAAGTTTAAAAATGAAAAATCTTTGTTGAAGATTTTATTTTAGCTTTAATTGAAAGCTTAATAATTAAATTTATTATTTCAATTAAGTAAAATATTCTGGTGTATTTCAGATAGAAATTATATAGATTGGTTTAATTTTAAGAAATTTGTAAACAAAACAAATTTTTTCTATTTTAAAATTCTTTCAAAAAATATATATTTCTGACACGTTATTTTAGTAAAATTAGAAAATTTGAAGTTAAATTAATCTGATTTGAAATAAATATTACTTATTTGTAGCATAAAAAACTAATATACAACCAATTATTAACGATTGGTCCTGTTCATCTGATCCAATGTTTGATGGATTGCTGATTGACGAAGCGATGATTGTCATAAATCTTTTTTGGTTTTTAACTACCTAGTAATTTTTACAAATGAAGATATTTTCCGTAATTATTTAATATTTTATTGATTTCTATTTACCTTTCGAAGATGCAACAATAAAAAAAATTAAAATACTATAAAATTTTCTTCAATTAATTTTATAATTTAATAGCAAATGAAATACCATGATTACTCAATTGAAGTATGACCCATACTAATGTAAATACATAAAATAAAAATAAATAGCGAAATAGTGATTGAAAAAACATTTAAAGCTGAATGGAAATTTTGAAAACCTGTTGATACGTAATTGAAGCGATCTAATAAAGGGACAAAACTTTTAGATCATAATAATGACAATTTCAGTCTACCATAAATGAAAATAAAGGACATATGAAATAAAAAAATACAAAATAAAAAATTATTTTAAAAATACAATAGCTCAACTAAGTTTATTAATCTTTTCAATTTGGGATTTATAAATTTTGTTTCCCCTTAATTACTATATCACATCAATAGCCCAATACAGGATTTTACACAATTTTAATCTATTATAAATTATTATAATTAAAATTAAAAAAAATGAAAAATTCTTGTAAAAATTCATCAGAAAAATTTTATTTCTTCAGACAATAATGTCCTTAATATTAGTTATTTACAAAAGCAATTAAAAGCTTTTCTAATTAAGTAATGTCATAGTTTTATTGGATTCATTATTTTTCAAATCAGATCAGATTTTCAGTTAGAACAGCTCAAATTTGGAAAAAAAAGTAGGTGATTTATAATTTTCAAGCACTCCTACATTTAACAAAAAAAAACAAAACAAAAAAACAGGAAATAGAAAGGTTTTGTGCAAAATTTCATGAAATTAAGTAAGTGGGGGGGGTAACATATTTAAAAGAAATTACCTAAATTTTCTCAAAAAAAAAAAACACTTCAAAAATAATTTCATTCATTTGTGTATTTATATTTTAATTTCATTAATTTCATATTATGTATTTATATTTTAATTTCATTAAAATCGGACAATTATTTGATTTTTACGAAAATGTCGAAATCAATGTGTTTTCAACGAAAAAAAAAAACACAAAAACGTAAATGTTATTAGTTAACCACCACGATGACGTAAACAAACCAAGATTTTAACCAAAATTTCGAACGTGGTAGAAAGGGTTATAAAATTTCAAAAAATAATTAAAAAATACTTTGATCTTTCATCTTAATAATAACATAAACATTTTGACGATAAAACTTAATTTTCGTTAAGTTTGTAGCCTTTTTCATTACGCTATGCTGTTTTCTGCGAAAAAGTGGAGGTACCTGTCTAAGACCCTGTCCGAAATAACTAAAAGTGTTTTAACTGTTAAAACTCTCTAACCACGAAGAGCCCGGACGGGGAAAGAATAGATTCGCAATCCATTTATGAAGAAGCCAGGTTTAACTCTGATAGAAGATCAGCTGCTTGACATTGTAAATGATGGCGGCCTTAAAAGTATATCTGAGACAACTTCAAACCTCCTTGGATTCTTGATTAAAGACAAGACAGAATATTCTGACATCGCTACAAAATCACTGAAAGCAGTTTCCTTTTCCAATATCAAATCAAAATAACCAAATAAAAAAACTACGAAATAGATTAAACATAAGGAACACTCTTCGGGCGTCATTATCTGCCATCACTCTCAGATGGGACCATCTAGTTAAAGGAAAACAATCTCAGGACTCCCACTGATTTTATAGTATGATGAGTTGATATTGATATAATAATAATGTAATACGAATTGATTCAGGGAAACTAAGCACGTAAGGGTGTGGTCGGGCTGAGACACAGGCACGAGAGTCAAAAGATTATACACTTTTTCTTCTCTTTAATAAATTACTCTTTTTATCGAAATGCTTTTAACTTACATATATTTGCCACTACTGGTCCACGGAAAGATTGAAGCTGCTCCGTGATATAAAACAAGTTGAAAACCACTGGTTTAAACAACATATCAATAAAATGTATACCTACGCTTGCAGGCCTCCGTAATATTTTCTCCTCTGCTGATTCCCTTAAAAATATATCTGAGACCACTTCAAACCTCCTTGCAATCTCGATTAAAGGCAAGACATCGCGGCAAAAGCACTACTTGGGGAAATCAGATTTTTACTGTCTGCACAATTCGTTCTTCAATCCTATTAAATTGTCAGTGATACGGTGGTGCTTTGTAAGGGAAACAGCCAATTACATAAATCTTTATTTTAAGATATTTTTATGTTTATACATTCTTTTTTTTAGATAAAAATATTTAAGTAAATGCTCTGTTTATAATAAACAGTATTAAACAACATTTACCTGCCTGAATGTCTAAAATCTATAAAAAAGAATGTATAAACATAACAATGTCTTAAAATAAATGTCGGACTTTGTCCATTTCATAATGTGTGACGTCATTTGTTTACATTTGGATACGCATCGAGCAGATATGAATGTACGTGAGAAAATCATGGAGAATTGTGGTTTAAAAACAGTAAAATCGACCTTGCTAACCGAAACGCTCCTCTGTGGCTTAATCGGTAAAAGCACGTCAGGCTATATGACGGTTCCGTATAGGATACAGGTTCCATTCCTGTCGGAGGACGCATATTTTCTATGACAATTTCTCGGACATTCAGGCCGGTAAATGTCGTTAACACTGTTTATTATAAACGGAGCATTTATTTAAATATTTGTATCTAAAAAAAAGAATGTATAAACATAAAGATGTCTTAAAATAAATGTTGGACTTTGTCCATTTCATAAATCTTTATCATAAAATTCTGGTGTGTTGTCTGATACCAATGTTTAATATTTTTAATATTTGCTTGATTGTAGTCGTTTTTCTATCTAACTTTAATAAACTTGAGGTCATCCAGAAAAGTCGATTAAAATAAGAAATAGCTCCATACCATTAATGCGTGTATGGTCCATATGAACACGATACTAACATCATCTCTTTGTGAAGCAGGGTTTTCTGCAGCGACAATAACCAAATCTACTAAATAAACTAGACATAAGGAACACATTTCGGGCGTCATTGTCTATCATCACTCTCAGATGGGACCATCTAGTTGCAAGGAAACAAGCTGAAGACTCCCACTGGTTTTATAGTATGGTGAGTTGATATTGATTGTAATAACAGTGTAATAGGGATTGATTTAGGGAAACTAACCACGCAAGGGTGTGGTTGTGCAGGAGCCCATATGTGAGGATCAAAACATTATACACTTTTTTCTTCTCTTTAATAAATTACTCTTTTTATTGTTGCTCTCTTTATCGAAATGCACTTAAATTACCCAAATGCGCCACTAGCAATAGCAAAAGAGCCTTCCAAAAGCTAAGTAATGTATTAAGAAGCAGGAAAATCTTGTTAGAAATAAAGGAAACGGTCCTGTACTGCCATGTAATATAAATTCTTTCTCTGTGGCAGTGAATGTAGGACAACTTACCTCACAAATGATGAACAAATATTGAAGCAATAAAGACGATGTTCTACAAAAGGATTCTGGGAATACCATGGTCGACGCATGTGAGCAACAAAGAAGTTTTAGGGAAAATGGAAATAAAAAGGACACTTATACATCGAATCAGAAAGAGACAGTTGAAATTTCAACGAAGCATAACAAGAAAAGAGTGCTTGGAGAATTTAACACTCACAGGCCATATTGAAGGTAAGAAGGACAGAGGTAAACGAGCTTAAAAAGACAAAAATTGCTAAGAGCCATGAAGGTTAGGAAGTGGTGGAGAGGCATGCCCGCCCACGTCCCGAAGAAGAATATATTATCCCGCTTCCAAATCAGAAATTTGTCTGAGAGTTTTAGCAGTTCACTGTAACTAAAATCTTGGATTTCAAAAGAGAGCGGAGAGTTTTTCCCATGATATTTCTTTAATCATTGAGAGTAAACAGCCGACAGTTCTCTACTCACCCGTAGCCATATGTAACGACACGCCCAAATCCACCCCACCACACCTCCAGTAGAAATGCGGCGGTGGCCCAATGGACGATTGTAAGTACCAAAAACAAACAACATGGCGGGAATTCCACCATCTTTGTTTGAAACGCCTTTATCCATGACGCATGACTGGCATTTTTTAAAAAATGTTTTCTCTCTTCAAACAATAAAGAGCGGTTTGGATAACAGTTTGGTTTAAATATAAGTAACCTTGCCGGAAACGACGCGACGGCTTTCAAACACTTGACCTGTTGGCCTACAACAATTTGGGGTAAAAGAAGAAAAAAAGGCAGAGATAATTAAAGAGGAGCACATATGTCAGTAAGATAAGACAGATTTTACTTATAGTATACTTCATGGTCAGAGGAGACCAAAAATGTTTTGCTGCCATATCTGGGCTGGAGCTACTCGATCTTTAAAATCATGTAGTAATAACAGAACCAGTGAATAAACTTACACCAAAGCTTTATTGCACGTTAATCTGACTACTCGTCTACTGACAAGCTGCTTTCTATACCTCCTAGATCTTAAGGGGAGGTAACTGATGATTTATCAGTACAAATCAATTATGCAGTTGCGTTTGGGGAAAGACTTATTCTCGGCAGACGCAATGTTGCATGACTATCGTTACTCGATCACTATAATCCATAGCAAATATACCGATAAGATCTGTTCTTTACTTCTACCAATTCAGACGTTTTGAGCTAGGACCCTAACCGTGTTACGTCTATTCAGTTGAATCGTGCGCGTTTCCTTCCTATTTCAATTGTTCGACACAATTTTTTTTTCACAAGAACTGCTACTTTGCAGAACAGACTCCTTGAGCACAACAATTCTCACTTCCTCAGGTCAAGGGTCAATCGTTATCTATCTTCCTTACCTATCACAACCTTACTTTCTACCACTTCCTCTTGCAATCGTATTCAGTAATCCTCTGGTTTGAGTGGCTCTCGAGACTTGTGGTGGGTCAGATTGAATAAAGTGTCATTTAACTTGAGCTCCTTGATAAAATCCAAAGAAGAATTAGCAATATTATTGGTCCTGATCTAGCGACTCGGCTTCAGTCACTTTCCAACTGCCATAAGGTTGCTTCTCTTTGTCTTTTCTATAAATACTTTCATGGTAATTGTTCGGATGAGCTCTTCATTAAGAGGGGAGAGAAATGGATTCATACCTAACCAGAATTTGATGAACAAACCCAAAAATTATGTGGATATAAAGTGGGGTATCAATTTTATATAAGAATCAATATATAAACTGATCTCTCACTATTGTGGCCACGGTAGTTTCTATATATTTATATTCTAGTGAAATCTAAAAGTCATGCCCGCGTAGCTAATCAGTATTTGATTGATTCGTTTCTCTACGGCTTATTAACTCATTGCAGGTTATTTAAAGCCAGAAAACATTTTTAGATTTTAAGAAGTTTTTTTTAGATATTAATTGTTTAGGATTCATTACAGTTTTCTCATTCACCATAATAATCTATCCGTTATCATTTGTTCTTACATCAACAAAATACCTCACACGCCCTACTGAAAAACATCCAATGATTTAAAATTTCAATATGTGCAATTATATATATATAAATTATATCAATAAAATGATGGATGATTGTGATGACTCCGAAGAACTGAAAGTGAATAATGTTAGTAAGATCCGTCCACTAATAAAAAATTAAGACTGACCGCTCTATTCTGTCTACCGCCAAAATCAAGAGGCTCTATCGATAAAGAATGGGGAAGTAAAAAATAATAATGGTATTAGAAAATTCAAAAACTGACCAAGTCGAAATAAAAGGGTAGGCAAAAAAAAAAAAAAAAAAAAAAACTAAAAAAACTGGGAAGGTTGGGAATCATAGGGCGAAGCCTGGAATAGGCCCCGGAAAGACACTTAACAAGATACACTAAGAAGAGTCTATCTTAACCAAGGGAGGGGCTCCTATGAGTCAAGTTATTTCTATTAAAAATTCAAAGAGAAACATCATAATTTCTACAGAGGGTGGTAATTGTACTCATTCCCATTTAATATACACCACTAAATGACCCAACTTGACTTGATTCTACTTTCAACACCATCACTTGGTAAGACACCAGAAGTGTTGAAACAAAATGGCTATTTTTGTAGTGATTTTATAATTTTTATGTTATGATTTCGAATAAATAATTATATTTCCTCTAGTCTGTATTGAGCATTCTTTTAAGAATAGTATTTGTTGGTTATTGGAATTTATTCCGTATACACCAATCTTATACTTGTATATATATATATATATATATATATATATATATATATATATATATATATATATATGAGAGAAGAATATGATTTAAGAAAAGATAAAGGAAAAACAGTGTTTGACAATGTTACACAATATTTCAACAGAATGTCTGTCTTCAAATTATATCTAAACATTTTTTTAAGTATAAAAATATATAAATCTACCAAAACATTATAAGTCTTTGTACAAACATTGCTTGTCTTTTAATTAAAATTGACTATACTGTTAATAAACAAGTCAAAACGAATGAAATGCCTCCACGTGAAGCCATGCAACTGAATCATGTTTAATAATGACAGTGATGGTGATCTTGTTCATCTTGAAAATTTTCCGTTAATTAATTAGTTACTAAGAAAACCTAATCAAACAGCTTCGTATAAATCTTATGGAATTCTTCCGTCATTCAGTTCATTTCCCCGGGGGTCGGAAAGTTAATAATTTGCTTTCATAACCATCCTCATGCGTTTTGACGGTCGACAGGTCAGTAGATTCTGAATAATTTTTTCAGAATATGCACTTTAAAATGTTTATTGAAATTACAGTCGCCTGTAATAAAATGTTCTTCAAGTTCCGTTGATGTCAAATTATTGTCTGACATCGTACCTGTGGCCATTGAATCTAATAATAATAATAATAATGAAATATCTCATGCCATTTTATAAATAAATAACCCAACTGATTCATTTTTCTTTCTATGTACCGTGTCGTTTCAGGACGTAGGCGATCATGGCTCTCCACCTCCTTCTATCCTTTGCAGCTCTCAACAACTTCCTTCCCTCTGATTCTTCCCCCAGACCACGTTCTATCATCACTTTGCTTAAAGCCGCTAGGCATGTCATGCATTGTTTTCCCTTGTCTCACTTTCCCTTTATTCGACCCGTGAGCATCAGGTTCTTCAGGCCCTCCTTCTTCATTATGTGTCCCAGAAACTTCAGCTGCCTCTTCCTGATGTTAAGTATAAACCTTCTCCTTGTTTGCACCCTCTCTAAGACCTAATCGTTGCTCACACGCTCGGTCCATGATATCCTTAGCATCCTTCTGGAGAACCACATCTCCGCCGCCTTGAGTCTCTTCTTCATCTTTGAGGAAAGAGTCCAACATTTGATGTCGTATCGAAGGACAGATGTCACGTAAAAGCTCAGTATTCTTTTCTTCGTTATCAAAGTAATCCTCCTGTCTCGTAATACTTTGCCCAGCTTTTGGAATATGTCCTTGAGTATCCCAATTCGTCTACGGATGTCAGTGTCGCATTTACTGTCCTCTGTCAAGACGCTTCCCAGATATTTTAGCTGTCGACTCTGCTTGATTCTAGTGTTCCCGACCTGCAAATCACATTTCAGGCTCATCCTTTTACTGATGACTATGCATTCTGTCTTCTTGTAGTTTATGCTTAGTTCCTTAATTCTTACTCTCCATCGTTACATTCTGTAGGAGATTTTGTAATTTTCCATGTCTGCTATTAGTACTGTGTCATCTGCGTATCTATGTTGTTAAAATTACGGCCGCCGATGCAAAATCTAGTTAGCGTTTCTAATTCTTTCGGAATTGCCTCGCTGTATAAGTTGAACAGGTCGGGCGAGTTATCATAAATCAAAGGGATTTCAATGAAGAAAATAAGTCATCCTCTACAAGAACGTGTAAAAGATTTTGAACTTTATCAAAAGTGGACAAAGAAGATCGGGTAACTCCAGCTCCAGATATAGCAGCAATTTGGGATCTAATCCAACTCTTTTTATAACAGTGATGTTCACCCTCTCCAAGACCTGGGAGCCACTCGAGGTAGGAGTAAGAGGTACAGTTTATGCGGATATGCGCATAATCCTAGACTTGAACTGGCAAAGATTGTAGTGATTGAGGAAGCATCCTCTTGGGAGTCGGTTACACAAAACAGGGTTCGTAGGAAGAATCTGCTCGAGTAGAACTTACATCTCACCAACGGAATACGAAGGGAATGAGAGTGCGAACCGGGCTCACCATAGTTACCCACATTTCGCTGAAATCTCTCAATACCAGCCGCTTTCTATCAGTTCTAATCTTCATCCTGACCTGATGTTCAAAGATTCTGATCAGAATGTTTTTGAGTGAATGGAGCATGTAAGTCTTAACGAGAACCATCTTTCTTCGTGGACTGGCATTACGGAAATATAAAGAACTCTGCCAAATTACAGGAACCACATCACTTGAGGACATCTGAATAACAGCAGCAGAAACTAAAATGAATATCACATGTAAGGCGGAGAAAACATAATGACAAATAATTTAAAATCACCGTGAGTTGACAGTTATTTAAGAAATATTACAATAAGAGTACAATATTACAGTCTTTGGAAATCCGCTGAGGATCAAACACGCCAGTTGTTCACCCAGATTTGATGAGACTGGCACAAAACTGTAGTGGCAGACATTCGTATCAAACTGAGCCAGAAATTGATAGCCAGCTCTGGGAAATTAATAATATAAACTTCAATTATTTACAATCGGACTACTTTACGTTGTGCCTTTCAGTTTTATTACATGTGCCCGTCTTATCCTTTGGGACTTTCGAACTGAACTTTTTATGTAATCGACAGGGGCGTTGATTTATGTCTAATATCCATGCTTGCTTTCTTTCTTTCTCTCTTTCTCTCTCTCTCTCTCTCTCTCTCTCTCTCTCTCTCATTTATTTAATTTTTTTAAGCATTTCCAACCTGGCCCAAGGAGTTGAACTGATATTCACTACGTACACCATATTAAAGAAGAAAAGCTTTATTCCACTAGGCCACTGTGTTAATCACAGAAAATCAGCCGCAAATAAGCCTTCATGTTTTAGAAATTCTATTTATAGATGAGAGTTTTCCAGACGAACGGTTTAAATTAACATTTAAGAAATAAGTAAAATTTAATTTAATGCACGTCAGAACATGTTTGTTTTTGCTAACTGCGGAATCTTCTGTTTCGATAAAAAAAAAGTGCGATTTAATGTGAAGTAAAAAGGAAATGTGTACAGCAAGGTTTTGTTGCGCCGGTCTTTCTCGGGAAGATAAAGACTGCCTGTCTTGAAAATCAACATTTTAAAGCTGCAATTCAATTTCATATTTTTGTGGCAGGTCGTCTTCACATGAGAGAATGTGATAACATAACATTCCTAATCCAGTTTATCCTCTCCCAAATAAATAAAAGCTCATCAGTTCGCCTTTAATAACCGACTCATACTCTTTTAACAACTTAAATTTTTTTGTCCCCGTCAACAAGGTCCAGTTGCTGACTTTTCAGGATTAGTATATCTCTCATCTTCTTGCTTTTGTTGCTTATTTACACATAGTAGTAGGAGATGTAATGGTCTTAAGTTGTCTGAATTTCTTACATGAAGCATTGTCATTATTATTAATTTTTGACTCGTATTTCTTTTATCATATTTTATTGCTTGTTTACACCTAGTAGTAAGAAGTTTGCTATGCGACTATAACCGTCGCAGAATACCAGACACAGATCTTAAATTCGTAATGCGTATAGCAAACTTCTATGTAACAGGATTTCATCTTCGATTGTGAACATCTCTGTTGTAATGTCCATATAACCAATCTGATGATGGCTCATGGGAGCTGAAAGCTTAGATTGATGAACAGCACAATAAAAAAAAATATCCAAATATTTGACAGTTTTTGTCTTTATTTTCTCTCGAAACTATAGCCACTATACGAAGCTTACAACGGCTCATAATCAAACATAATAGACATCCGTTGTCGGTTAGATTTAACAGTGTATATATATATATATATATATATATATATATATATATATATATATATATATATATATATATATATATATAGTATATATATATATATATATATATATATATATATATATATATATATATATATATATATATATATATATATATATATATATATATATATATGTAGGTTATATAACAGTATATATATAGTTTAAAAAGTGGCATATTTATATAGAGGTCATAACGTTTCAAAGCGATCTTCAACATAAAAAACAGTATTGTTCGCACAGTAAATCACCTGGATGGGTATTCAAAAGCTGATGTGGCGGTGAATGAAAACTGACTATCGATAAATCTAAACTGAACTGACTTTCTGTTTGATAACATCGAAAATAGTCTTTTTGTCGACAGTCTGGGGTTAATATATCAACTCTCTTTGAAAAGAATGACGTTTAGTCCTGGGTACGACGATAAACTACATCCAGCAGTAAGGCCTCTTATTGTAGGTTTTGAAGAAAGTGGAACTACCTTTTAATAGATGTTGTTCCCAGGTCCACCCTAACCTGGGGTTGGTAGCACCTGTTAGGCTGCCAACTATGGGCAAATAGTGAAGCTCACAAACTAAAACAAAACCCCATGAAAGTATAGAAATTCATTTAATAGTAAAAAGCAAGAAAAAGAAAAAAACCTTATGAAAGTATAGAAATTCATTTAATAGTAAAAATACCAGCAGTACATTTTTATATTTTTTGAAGGAAAAATTATTGTCAAACTGGGGTCAAAGCACTGTGAAAGTGCATAAATAGGTTTTAATACCAGCAATGAATTTTCTGAGAAAAAAATATTACCAGCAATGCATTTTGGAAGGAAAAAATATTATATATTATTATATTATACATTTTTGTAAATAATTATTTCCAGCAATACATTTTGAAAGAAAAAATATATTACCAAAAATGTATTTTTGAAGGAAAACGTATTACCAGCAATAAAGTTTTGTAAAAAATATTACAGGCAATAAAAATCTTGTCGGCATTGAGGTTGATATGTAATAAAACAAACCAAACCAAACCAAAGTTTCAAAATAAATTTACATCTTCCATCCGACTCAACGCCATTACTTTTACGACAGCAAAGGGAGACAATCTAACAATTATTCTTATTTTTAACTGACTGTTTTTTTTTCTCCTTTTAATGCATTCGGCCAATCCTTTACGGTTATGAGATTATAATGTAGATCATATAATGACCCCGAGCAAATATCCATTCATTTAGTCAACAGACACGCTGGTTATGTATCGTGTTTAGTACAAAAGAGAGACAGGGTGCAGGTGTTCGGCTTCACCCTCAGAAGCGATATCAAGTCAAGAACAGGATGACATTATTAAGACAAATAAAGAACTTAATATATCATGTCTGTCAAGCGGCCTGGAGTTTATTGTACATCTTCAAGAGGGACAGTTGAAATATGTCGGCAGTACAGCATACATGTGCATACAACCTATACTCAAAGATACATTTCCGACCTACGGTTTATCTATCTATCTGTATCTCTCTCTAGATCTATCTATCTATCTATCTATCTATCTATCTATCTATCTATTACGATTTGTTTCTCCGTCTTTAACGCTATCTATCTATCTATCTATCTATCTATCTATCTATCTATCTATCTATCTATCTATCTCAGTTTGTTTCTTTCCTTTTTCTTTATTTGTTTGTTTGTTTCTTTCTCCAGATCTATCTATCTATCTATCTATCTATCTATCTATCTATCTATCTATCTATCTATCTCAGTTTCTTTCTTTCTTTCTATTTTCAACCAATTCATGTTTATCTCTCGATTAGTGAAGTTGCTTTCGTCAACACTGCGTAATCATTTGACTTCCATTAATTTGAACAACGGATTTTAAATGATAAAAGTCATGGCTTTGAACCACTCTCCTCATCCACTTGCCTGATATTGATGACTGCATTTTCGTTGTTTTGATGTGGTGATCAATATGTGCACGAATTGCACTGACTTTCGACAAGTGACAAGACATCCTATGAGAGACTGTGGTGTATGCATGAGCAATGTACACATACACACTGACGCTCACATATAGACACGCATATAATGTATTTCTAAAACTTGGCATATTTATAGAAGAGTACAAATGTTGGGAACAGAGCATTTTTCAGATTATATACAGCAGCTATGAAGTGTTCAGAATCTCTCTCTCTCTCTCTCTATATATATATATATATAAGCTCCTTCTTTTCTTCAGTAATTCCTTCATAACTTCCTATCTATCTATCTATCTATCTATCTATCTATCTATCTATCTATTTATCTATCTATCTCATTCTCTTCTCTTCTCTTCTCATCTATCTATCTATCTATCTATCTATCTATCTTGTGGGATGGGGGACAATACGTAATCTAAAAGCCCGAATCTACGAACGCAAGAGAGACTTGCGTTTGGACAAACCATCTAACTTTCTCGCTTTGTATCGAAACAATGGACATAACTTTGACTTAACTAAGCCACCCTAATTAAAAAAAGGAACATAATTCTTTAAGGAGAAAATACATTGAAAACTTAATAATAAGATTATTACCAACTATAAACACACGCCCAAAAATTCTTAAAGAATCTAACATATCTATCTAATACTAAGAATACGCTCTTAAATTTTTCAGCCAGTGTCTCCGTCGTATATTGGGTATCCGGTGGCAAAAGTACGTGAAGCAGAGGTTTGTGAGAAGAAGCTGATCGATTGGAACTTACATCTGGCTAATGGATTACGATGGGAATGATGAGGGTTCACTACAATGTGCCTGGCATGACTGGTCCTATACGTGAAGGTCGGAATTAAGGAATGCAGTTCGTCTGAACACATTCCATGGACATAGAGAGAGAGAGAGAGAGAGAGAGAGAGAGAGAGAGAGAGAGAGAGAGAGCAGCGAAAGGCTTGCGATGTTTTGTCTGTGGGAAAGTGTTGTAGGGCTGAAAATAAATTCATCGAGGTGCTTTTGTTAAAAGGTGAAGTCTGAGCAGCTCCTGACATGTGTATGGCAAATAAGGTAGATATTTGCCCTGGTCTCCCCACTGAGATGAGATGTGACACAAGGTCAGTTTTTAAAGTGGGGAGCGCGTACACTCGGGCCAAGTACAAAAATTCCCCGAACTCCTGCCACCCGTCGGTTGCATTGGTATCGGTTCGAGAACCGATCCTTCTCTCTAGTGCTATGAGAAGGTGCGTCCTCGGGCATCTGCTCCTCAGGACTGGACACCTCTCAGTGTAATTTTCTTCAGTTGCGCCTCTGTCCTCTGACAGAGCTGCAACTAAGTCGCACTCTGCCGGAAAACAGAGACGCAACTGAGAGATGATGATTACACCTACACGGCAGGTACCAGGTAAGTATATATGGCAACAGTATACCATTTTGGGTTCGATGTATTTCTTATATGCATTTGTATGCCCTACTAAATGGTGTTCTAGTAACCGATTTTAATGCGAATTAAGTTTAAACGTTTAATGATTTTTTCCTTTTTCTTTCAGATTTGGCGGTCATTTCGGCGATATTATTTTTCACACATAATTGCCATGACTTTAATAACGTGATCCAATAGAGAAATAAATAAACTTTCACCAATAACACTGATTCCTTTACTGCTAACTTTGATCCATCTTAATGAAACACGCTTATATATAATCCGTCTTAATGAAACACCCTTCAGAACGCCAACAAAGATTTATTTATCTAATAAATAAATAGTGTTTAATATTTTTGTTGTAAATTCTTAAGAACAAAAAAGAAAATGTATAAATTCGTTTTCATTGTCTAAATTTTATTCCAATTCTAATCATTGTTTTTTAAACAATAAACATTGCTGATGAGTGAAAGTTAAAAAATCGGTGTGAGAGGAAAAAAAACGTGCTTTTGACACTGGATCTAATTGCGGACACGTTTATCCATGTTTGCCAATTTTACTATAGAAATATTTGGGAATTAATAGAGAAAAGGTGATTTTTTTGGTTAAGAATTAATGTAAGTATTCTGACAGAATGAGATCCGCATCTTTATTTTGTTTGTTAATGAGTAAAAGTTATCCAGTTCATTATTCCTTTCCGGGTAAATAATGGACCATTTAAGAACGATTGCGAGGAAAAACGAAAGGGTAGTTATATATGAGAAGCGCTGTTTAATTTTAGTGGGGATAAAAGCATACATAATTAAAAAAGAAAGAAAGAATATAAAGAAAGATATAGGAAGCGATAACACTTTCATTTATTTAACGCCTGCTTCATTGAAATGGAAATAGTCAATTTTAAAACTTTTCATTTGTACCCTCTTACTTCTTTAAATAATGACCTGCATTCATACGTAGGATTGCTATTGCGATATTTAAACTGTTATGATCAAATATTTAACGATGCGGAATTTCCACGGGTGTTTTTGTTGTAACCTAGGGACGGTTACTGAATAGAATAATCACGCGAAGGTTGGTAATGAACGATATTACTTAGGACAAGAACAACACATATAAAATTCGCCAGCGGCGCGTAGAAGAAGTAATCAGAGTCCAGTAATCAGTGAGTCCAGTGAATTTCACAATTAATGTCCAACTGCAGGATATCTACTAACCGCCACACACCGTCAAATGTGGCACAAAGCCGAATTTAATGTGGGGTCCCCGAACCCATAGACTTGGCCAAAAATTCCTCGTAGACCGCATATAAAACGGAGTCGGGTAGCTGTTTCCCGAGACGAAACTTTGCCCTTCAACTTGGTCTCGTCTTGGGATCCTCTTTGCCCGGAGGCAGAGAGTTTGACCAGCAAAGCTGAAGACGAATCTCCAACCGCAGACCAACATACAGTATTTACTACTGTATGTATGTGAATGGGGACATACCCATTATTGTCCGTAGGTATGCTACAACAGTTTTATAGTCGTAGAACACGCCATGAGCTTATTCAGTCCTAAACTGAAAAATTAAGTTAACCTTAATTTTTGAAATCAGTATTTGCGGTTCATTTCATGTTATTTCAATGAGACACATAAGAGCTCGAAGAGCCGATTGCAATTCCAATCGTATTCGATATACTCTTGGAAAAGGTATGAATTCATCGCTTCTTCTCCAGCTATGAGTGAATTAGTAGGACTTGTATCAGTAAGTCCTTATTATCGCTAAAAGATTCTAATAATCTAAAAAAAAAAATCTGGCTTGAAATAACCCGCGAAATATTGATAAAACGTAAAAAACAAAACATTCAATCAATAATATAAGAACACACGAACAGTTTGATACTTTTATAAAGTTTTTAGAAATCTACAATTCCACTTACATAAAAAAAAACTGTTTCTACGTTCTTCTAATAATGTATTATTTGTACTTAATTTCCTCGGAAATAGCGATAGAGAAGCGAGAGTCTTGCGACGTTTCGTCTGTAGGAAAGGGGTTGTAGGGTGGAAAATAGATTAATCACCCAAAAGGACGCGAAGTGAAGACTGAGCAGCTGCTATATATAGCAATAGTACTCCATTTTCGGTCTGATGTATTTCGTATATGTATTTCTATACTGTACTAGAACGTCAAAAAAGATTATGTATTTATCTAATAAATAAATAAATAGATATTTAATATTCTTGTATGTGCCGTGTGTTATCACGACGTTGGCGATCATGGCTCTCCACAATTTTCTGTTATTTCCAGCCCTTAGTAAATGATGTTTTTTTCTTATCTCTCGTAAACCCTGTTCTGCTCAAGCACAGGTAGGTTATACGTTGTTTTTCCTTATCCCTCTTGCCTTCAATATATCCTGTGAGTGTCAAAATTTCCAAGCCCTCTTTCCTCACTATGTGCCCTAGAAATTTCAATTGTCCCTTCCTGATGGTATACTTAGCATCCTTCTGTTGCTTAGTCTCTTCTTCATCTGTGAGAAGATTGTCCAGCATCCACTGCCATATAAGAGGACTGCTATTACATAACAATTCAATATTCTTTTCTTTTTAACAAATCTTTTCGGTTTCTTAATACTCTGCTTAGCTATTAGAAGGCATCGTTCGCTATCCCAGGGTTTAGATTTCAGTGTCAAGCTTTCCGTCCTCTGCTAAATCACCTCCCAGATATTTACGTTTTGTACTTGTTTGATTTTGGTATCCTCAATTTGTAATTTACATGACGCGTTGACCCTTTTGCTAACGACCATGCATTCTCTGAATTGATGTTTAGTCCTTTTCTCTCGCTCTTCGTCATTACCCTCTGTAGTTTCCTTTCTGTATTTTCTACCAACATCGTGTCATCTGAAGAAATGGTAGAAAGATTAATAAAATTATAAACTAAACTATACTACTCGGATAGAACTAATTTAGTTGAAAAGCAATCTAAGACCATAGAAAGCTAGGATAACTTGGATTTATATGAAAATATATTTCACAAAAATGCTGGAAAATCTTATATGAAGCTTATATCAGTATTCATTTCTTTTTTTTTAAAGACAGTTTTTCTGTTTCTTAATACCGTGCTAAGTTTTTTGAAAGCATATTTCGATATCTCAGTGCGTCTTCGGGCTTCAGTGTACCTCTTTTCGTCCTCTTTTAAAACACTCCCCAGGTATTTAAATTGTTGCACTAGTTCAATTTTGGTATCTCCAATTTGTAATTTGCATGATGGGATGGCCTTTTTGCTTAGGACAATAAGCTATATCTTCTTGCAGTTGATGTTTATTTTAGTTTTACTTTACGGCTACTGCAGTATTTTGATAATTCAACGGAGAAATAAATGCGGCGTATGAAACTGCATTTTTTTCTCCCCCTCCACATACTTTTAAATAAAAAGAAATTAAAGTGGTACTACAAGAAATCAGACTCGTTAATACTTCGTCCTCAATCGAATGCTTCGCCTCTCCATTCAACAAAAGCTGGTTACAACGGAGCAGCAAGGTTAGGTGTATTTGTTTATCCGTCCTATATCGACTTCCCGTCTCACTCTTATCGAGGAACGTAGACTGATTTGTTACGGAGATGGTGCGGGTGGCGGCTAGGGGAGGTGTCGGTAATAGTCTAAACGTCCATCAAAGGCATGCCACAGTCTTAGGGTGACGACAATAAACAATCTTGAATGGGAAGAGCCGTTTTTTCGTTGAGGACAAACGCACAACGCAGAAATGCGTTCACGCACGAGCTGGGGCGGCCGGTCGGTGGGTCGGTCTCCGAACAAGGGGCAATGGTTAACAAACACATCCTGTTCATCGGCCTCTGTGGTCTTGTGCCAGACTAAGACCTGTTTATTAAATGCCCACACACAAACACACAATGTACTCAGGTATGCGTGTGCTCACACAAATGTACAGGTGTGCAGGCACATACATAGGGCAGATTCCTATGGTCCGCTTCGTAGAAAGGCATTTAAGCTGATCATAAACTGCGTGTTTTTTACTCTCTCCTTGGCTCATTTTTTCTATCTATCTATCTATCTATCTATCTATCTATCTATCTACTATTCCTTCCTTCCTATCTATCTATCTATCTATCTATCTATCTATCTATCTATCTATCTATCTATCTATCTATGAGCTCATTCCTTCCTTCCTATCTATCTATCTATCTATCTATCTATCTATCTATCTATCTAGCTAGCTAGCTAGCTAGTTAGCGATTCATATATCTATCCCTATATTTATCAGTGGTAACACACACACACACACACACACACACACACACACACACACACACACACACACACACACACACACACACACACACATTTGCCCATGAACAAAGGAATGTATGAGATTGATTTTCCCGCCGTAACTAAAACTCTCATCATTATATCCTTGTCCTTAGCAGGGAGCTTTCGTGATGAAAACGGGGTTATTAACATGCCTATTTTCAAGTTAGGTCAGTACTTCTTACGAGAAATGGTATCACTACGAATATATATTTGTGTCACTTTAAAATAGTAGTACTTTCATGTGTATATAAAATCTGACTTTCCGTTCAGCTATGTCTGGCCACAATCGCGCATGCGTCTTTCGGTAAACATCTTGGCTGCAGTGTTCACTCTGCTGTGAAAGCGGCGTGATTGGCGCATGTGGGCGCGGTGAATAATCATTTATTCCAGATTTTATTTTGCATCTCCGTTGCCTCTCTGCAGTTGGTCAGAAAATGGAATCCGGAACACACAAGCGCCCGTCTACACATGTACACTCACACAAACACAGACTCACATACGCACACACATTCATATACACACGCACGCACAAACAGTCGTCTTTCTTCCTCTCTCTCTCTCTCTCATATACATTTTTCCTTTACTCTTTTTTTCATACATACCAACGCTTTCTTAAGATCACACACATACTTTTTTATCACGCACAAACACCAATTTCTCTTTATTATCTCTCTCTCTCTCTCTCTCTCAAGTGCACACACACACACACACACACACATACACACACACACACACACACACACACACACACACACACACACACACACACACACACACACACACATATATATATATATATATATATATATATGCACATTTCACGTGCGATCTAATATTCTTTTTTCTTTTCGGATGATAAATTATATAAAAACTGTCCGAATGTTCTTTTTATCCGAGCGCTTTCGGCAATACATTTAGCCATTTTCAAGGATTAAATATTTTAACTGTTAAATAAGAAATAGTTTATTAGATCGCATGAGAAATTGCATAAAAAACTAAATAAAAGCACCTTGTCAGTTGTATTCAATTAAATGTGCATGAAAGAAAGATTGCTGTCTAAATACACACACGCACATACACACATATGGTTATATAGGAGACTTGAGGAATCGGAGAGTAGAGTTCGAATTCCAGTCGAATCATTTACATTTACTTACGCGCTAATAACCTTGGTATGAACCCTTTTCTTCTCCCCCAAGTTATGGGTAAATAGCAGGAGTGACTGGGTTCTATAGCCTTGGATGGCAACTAGTCTAGGAGAAGGACAACTCTGAATTCAAAACCTACAGAGGCTCGTTCGGGGACTTTGTAGCACGTAGTGCACCAGGTCTCTGTATTCGGCTCTTCAAAAAGTGTGATTGGCTCTGCACAAAATCTTTACCATTATAATCAAATCAAATGTGCAAATGTTGTCGGTTTCTAGGAACTGAGTAGCCTTTATGTCGTAAAAGTGTCACCGATAAGCACTGGTCAGCAGCCCGCCTCGATCAACGATGGAAGAGTCCATGATATATGTGGTTATTTTTCATTTATTTTCTGTAAACCTTATTTTTGGATGAATGATTCATTGTAATACACACACACACACACACACACACACACACATATATATATATATATATATATATATATATGTGTGTGTGTGTGTGTGTGTATTGTCTTTTATTAAGGATGAAGAGAGAAAACTTTGCAAAGAAACGAGAAAATCAAAATATATACAAACTTTATCTCTCATACACGCATTGTCTCGCGTACGTAAATCTGCATGCAGTAGGGAGTAACGTATATATTTTCTGGGAAAGCGACTTTCAAACAAGAATTGAGATATTTTACAAGTATATAAAAAGTCAACTTTCCACACAGGAAACCGAACTGTTTGAGTTTTCACAAATGTTTTAATTCATTCCATTCAGGCATTGGTGTTCGACATTGTACGCCAAGTTAACATGAAAAAAAAAAAGAAACCGAATATGAAAATAGACATTAGGCAGATCAGAAACACATTCGGATAACCAAAAAATAAAAACCACAAATACAGCAAAATGCATACATACATACACATAACACACACGCCAACGTATGTGTATGTGAGTGATAGAGAGAGAGAGCTCGAAAGAGGGAGAGAAAGAGAGAGAGAAAGAGGGAGAGGGGGCGAAAGAGCGAGAAGTGAGTGAGTGAGAGAGGGGGGAGAGAAAGAGAGAAAGAGAGAGAGAGAGAGAGAGAGAGAGAGAGAGAGAGAGAGAGTGACAAGTTAGAAAACTATACATTGATGCAGTTCCTTCCAAGCAAAAACCTTCACAACCTTTTGTTGGTTATTTAAAGCCAGAAAATATTTTTAAACCGTAAGAATTTTTTTTGGTAGTTAATAATGATTTAATGATACAAGTCATACTAATTAACCCATAGCTGGGGAGAAGAGGTAGATTCATACCTTTCTCAAGTTTATTTGCGCATACGTGAATATAACAAACCCAACGGAAATTAGAACTCGGTTCTTCCATTAATAATTCTGAACTATTATCTAATCCACCCCCCCTGCTGCACATCCAAACTTACAGCATCCAGTCTTCCCAAACGGTGATGAGCATTGCTATCTGGATTGTACGTTGGAAATAGCTGTAGTTAAAGATAGCAAGAAGAAAGGACTAATCATTATTTGCAAGGAGACTAAATGCATGGTTGTTAGCAAAAGGGACATCACATTATGGAAATTACAGATTAGGGATACCAAATATCAAACAGGTGTCAGAATTTAGATATCTGGCAAGCGAATTAACAGAGGCCGAAAAGTGTGACACTGAAATCCGAAGGCGCATTGGGATAGCCAAAGATGCCTTCCAAAAGGTAAGCAAAGTATTAAAAAACAGAAAAAATATCGTTAGAAACAAAGAAAAGAGTACTGAACTGCCATGTAGTATCAGTTCCCCAGTACGGGAGTGAATGCTGGACAATCTCCTCAGAGATGAAGAACAGACTTGAAGCAATAAAAATGTGGTTCTACAGAAGGATGTTGAGAATAACATGAACCGATTATGCGAGCAGCAACAAAGTTCTAATGGTAATAGCAACAAAAATACACATACTTTAGTCCAGGAAGAAACAGCTGAAATTTCAGTGGCACATAATGAGGAAAGAGGGCTTGGAAGAATTGGTACTCACGGGGCAAATTGAAGGGCCAGAGGAAAGCAACGTACAACCTAGCTAGTGAGCTGGAAGGATGGCGGCGCAGGGTTTGGGAGAGATGGAAGAAAGACAAAGGACAGGCAAAGGACAGGTGAAGAAAAATAGAATTAATATAAGTAAAAGTTTGTCACTTAGCTGATTGATGTTACCCTCAGCATCCCGACCGGCTCGTCCGTTCATTCTTCAAGGGGTATCAGCAACTGACTGCTTATATTTCATATATATATATATATATATATATATATATATATATATATATATATATATATATATATATATAATTTATTTGAAAATTATAACATAAATATGTTACAAAATCACTACAAAAATAGCAATTTTTTAACACTTCTGATGTCTTATCAAGTGATGGTGTTGAATGTAGAATAAAGGGTTCAAATCGACCAAACACACCTCGATAGTGTGGAGACACTGTTACATAAGCCGCAATGACCAATCAAAATACAAGTATATGAGAATTCAAAAATTAATTAAGATTAAGTAATTCATCGAGTGTAGAAGAAACCTCAACAGAATGCAGAAAGCATTGGACGGCCGTTTCGTTCTATATTTGGGACTCATCAGCAGTGCGCATCCACTAGCAAGAACAGTTACGATAGGAGGCAAACGCCATATCAACTGTACCAACGGGCCTCGATATAGCACCGCTCGATCACATATTCCATGGGGGAACTCATCAGAGTTTCTATTTACCCCTAGGACTGTCCCTCCTCGAACTACGACTACTATCCCCAAGCCGCTCAATCCAGACCATTAGACGCCGGTTCAAGCCAGGATATACAGATAGAAATAATTACCTCCTATCGTAACTGTTCGGGTTTCAATTCTTGGTAGTGAATGCGCACTGCTGATGGGTCCCAAATATAGGACGAAACGGCCACATAGTATCATATACTATGGTACCGTCATCATCTGACCACATAGTCTTTTATATTCTGGTGCTATGATCATCAAATCACATAGTATCGTATAGTATTGTACCGTATCCACCGTTCTGCTGCCACCTGTTACATCAGATTTGTTTGTCTACCTTCGATGCTAAAGATTTTGACAAATACTCTATAATTACTACCATGCATATATACCTGCTGAACGGCTTTATTCATTAACTAGATAACAGCGGTTTGCCTTATACGCCCTTTTAATAAAAATACTTGTGGCATTTCAGTTATTCTAAAATGAAAGAAATAAAACAATGCCATCGGAAATTATTTTCTTTCGTACGTGACTGAGAGACGCATTCATACGGGTTTAGAGTCAGATTATATGGAATGTACCGCTTCACGTTTGATCACTGCAGTTAAACAACATCGAAGCTGATCAGTACTGAGACCAATTTGGAATATTTTAGATCGTAAACTTGTGGCTCTCATAAAAAGAGTTTAGTAAATAAAGGTTACTTAAGGTGCGGTGGATGATGATAATGAAATATCACTCGTTGTTGGGTTATTTAATGCTGCAAGACGTTTTATTCGTTCTATGGGTAAACATAGGCCTAGTTTATACTTGAGACTGTAGGCAAATATTAGCCGAGTTAATACTTGAATATATACGTAAAAAATATCCATATTTATACATGAGGCTATAGGTTAATATTAGTTATGCTCATACTAGAGGCTGTGTGTAAATACTTGTTTTTAAACTTGAGCCTATAGGTAAAAATTGGTCCTGATTATACCTGAGAATATCTGCAAGCTTCCATGAAATAA